TGTGCTGTCCCGGCCCGGGGGGAAGCGCCGCCGCGGCCCAGGCGAGGGAGGGGCGTTCCTCGGCGACCCGCCTTGACGGGGCCTGCGGGGCAGCTGTCAGTCAGCGCCCAGCGCCCCGCGGGGGAGGCCCGCGGCAGGGCAGCCTCGGCGGCTGCTGGCTGGGAACAAGGGCGAGCTCCGGAGCTCGGGTTTGACTAAAAGGCGAGTGCGAGTGACAGGTCCGTTTCGTAAGGCACAGAACGGGGAAAGAAGTAACTGCACCCATCACGCGGGCAGCCCGGGCTTTCCCCTGCGATACGCCGTCCCCTGAGGGAGCGGGGGGCGCGGCGGCCGCCAAACCGAACCGAGGACGCTACGGCCCGAGTCGAGGTCCTCAGCGTTCAGCGGAACGCCGGATTTAGACCCAGAACCTGACTGCTTTCACCAGGAATTCATAAAACATGCAGAAGACGTGTTTTCCAGGCAAGGTGGGACAGACCCCCCCGTTATCTGCCACATAATACACATTTCCTTCGGTAAAAGTCTACAAAAATTTCGGAGGAAGGACGCTTCTCACGTTGACCTTTTCTAGTACAAGCAGTACTAGCTAAACGCTTCAATAAACAAATTTTTTCCTACATGCATTCTTTAAAGATGAGTGAAGTTGCTCACATGGAAGCATTTAGAGAGACAAAACAAAATAATAAAAATGAAAAATAAAAAGGCCTAGCATTTTCCAGTTAGGTTTCTTTTGCCAAGACACTCATCAAAATAACATAGCGGACTGAATCACAGCATTATACAACTTGGACGGGGAATAAACTCTTCTTTGCAGCTGCGTTTTTTGCGAACAGGGTCTCAGCACCTCCTTTCCAATGCTCGCGTCCCTCATACGCATGCTTTGTAACAGGTGATTTCATTTAGAACTAAACTAATTTTGATGGATGTGTTCATGCTTCTTAAAGCATATGTTCTGTTCACCCACCAACTCCTTTCAGTGCAGCGGCTGGTTTTTCTTCTCCGTACAGCTTCGACATACCATCATGGCCAATCATTGAAATACAACAGCTGCGATGGAACTAATCCCTTCTTTTTTTTTTCCTCCTCAGAATTTTAACTGCCACCACAGAGGCCAAGGCCATACCCATGGGAGAAAGCTAAACTTAAAGTAGTCCAAAGCAGGTGAACACGTATATTTCAATTTAAGAATGGCTTATCGTGGTTTAGGATAAATTATAAGTTTATTCCCATCTGATCTTAGACCTCACTGATAAAGACATTTCTAATTAATATGCAAAGCTAAACATCAACACAGGTTTTGATGCAGAGTCTAATCTGACGTTCACTGTGCAGGTGGATGGAAAAATTAAGATGTGCCCACAGAGTAGCTCATGGAATCATAGAATTGTTTTGGTTGGAAAAGACCTTTAAGATTGTTGAATCCAACCATCAACCCAACACCACAATGCCCACTAAACCGTGTCCTGAAAATATGCATATGCAAAGGCCAGGGATCATTGTGCTCTCAGTATGCTGGTAGAGCTCCTCTTGGGAGTTAACTTATCTGACCTCTGCCAGCCGAAAAGGGCCACATTAGCTTTAACAGCAGTTTTGTTAATCAGAGTAATTTTGACTGAAACAGGTTAGGAGTCATTCAGAAGAGCCGCTACTCCCATCCCATGAGCACATAGTGATCTCTACAAAGGGTTACTTCTTCCAGCAAGATTTGGAAAATAGCATATTTCTGCAACTTGAGTACTGTTATTTTCTCATGTAGAAAAGCCCTTTGAGTATCATGCCTAGGCTGGAAGGGATGTATGAGGAAGCTTGTACTGCTGCAACCAGCCCAGTATTTATTCCATACCCGGTTGTGCTCGGTTTGAAGTCAATTGCAATGTTCCATGGATTTAACTAATGTCCAGGTTTGGCTCACTTCTATGAATCCCTGTATTTATCCAGCCTCAGTGGCTCGAAGTCCCACACCTTCGACACTGCATTCATAAACAGAAAGCTGGGCTAGCTATGGCAGCATATGGAATATTTTTCTGACAAGGAAACCATTGTATGGAAACCTCACTAGCTGCCATTTTCAGACAGTCAGGGGGAGTGAGGCATTTGCTTAACATACTTAATTTCTGGAAATTTTTCCACAGGAATGATAACCTCTGAGCCCACGCTCTTTGGGAGCTTTGGCTGGAGCAAATCCCTCATCCTCTAAAAGGTGTTACGGGTAGCAAATGTTCTTGTCAGCAAAAGAAAAAGATACGTTGCAGTAGCTTTGGCAGCGTGTTTTATCAGTAAAAATTCATCAAATTATGAGAACCTGTGAAAAGTGATCCAAGTGTAAGCAATATAGTATAGCCTGCTTGGAAACGTAGGCAACCCAAAACAATAGCTTTAACTTCCATAGACATCTTGATGGAGACTGAATTCCCAAACTGCCTCTGAGGCAAAAAATAAGCACTGGGGGAAATTTTGTTAGCAATATGAATGTTGTGACTAAGGCTTCACTATTCATTCAACACCACATTCTCTGGCTGTTGGGGTTCTTACCTGCTCTGTTTCTTTCATACCTCCACAGGGCAAAGGGATTCCTGATGCCCTTGGAGAGAGGACACCCATGTGTCATGTCACCCCAAATGTATAAAAATACACAGTTACGTAAAATATGGAAAGCATTTTCAGAAGGATGATATGTGAATTTCAGTGTTACAGAGCTAGATGTAACTTGCACATTAGATTAATTACATCCCTTCAAGTTTATTAAAATAAAAAGAGATGTTAACAGAAACTCCACATGCAGCCCACTTCTGTTCACCTTCAGCAGCATGACATCTGGTACTCCCACAGAGACGTTCACAGTATAGTTGCTGCCAAAGAGGGACAAGGCCACTCTCTCCTTTCAACCCTTCACTTCCAGCCAGGCTTTATTTGATCCTTGTTAGATGAGCTTAGCTGTATCATGGATTCCTACCAGCAGGATAGATCTAAGAGCCTTAAGATTTCCGACTAGGACTCTCCTCTATATCTTTGTAACACATTTCATCTCAAAAGTACATTAGAACAGTTTACTGGTGAAGTAAATATTATGTCATAATTTGATTTACTACTTCTCTAGAGCATAATGTAACTGCAGCCATTTTCCTTAAAAGTTTACAAGAGGAAAAGTATGCAGAAACATGTAGTATAGCGTACTATATGACATATATTTATTATATGTATGTTATATTATATACCTACGTTTTTAAGACTGGTTTTCAATCAGCTCAGTTTAGGAAACCTAAGCCCAGCCCGGAAGTGGAACCGCTCCAACATGCAGTTCCTAAGGTAACCACAGAAGCCATGCTGTGCAGCTGATAGAGGGGGGAAAACAAAGATATTTTCTCCAGTTAAAATTACAGGAAGCCTACCAGCAAGTTTTAATATCTTTTTTTTTTTTTTCCAGTCTTTAGGGTTTTAATATTTAAACTGGTATTTAGCCAGGATAGAATCCCTAAACCTCATGTGCTATGCACTTTGAATAGAGGTTTACTTTTACTCATATTAACAACTGTATTAGGATTTCAAACCAAATGCATATGGACAGTGATGCCACAGCCAGGATAAGACAGCAGCAAATGAGGCCTAGAATCCTTGGTGTCGGGATAGGCGAGAGTTTGCATATCATCTGAAGCATGGTCATACTGCTTTCTGACATCGTGCCGGCATTGACTCAGTACCATTTCAGAGAAATCTTTGTGGGAGAACCCACAAAATCACAGCAGCATTTCCTGCAAGCACTGCATTTTCCTAGTGCATCTTCCAAACTTCAATTCCAAACTCATACTTTTCCAAGGGGATTTGACCTTAGACCTGTGTAGGTCTTCAGTACACAGGATTTTTACTGAAAGTTTTTTTGCACATATTTTGCATTTTTCCCAGAACAATCATGCTGTGAGCTTTGATTGTGGAGCTATCTATCTGAACACCCTCCCCTGTTACTGAATTCATTCAAATTAAGATAAGAGCTAATTCTACACTCCAGGCTATACAAGCTACGGAGTGTTGAGTGTGCATTTGTATGTAAACCATCACCCTTTGCATGCAGCAGAATATAGTCTTGAAATAAACAGTTTCATCAAGGAGTAGCAGATGGAAGTGCTTTAGTTTCCATTTTGTATTAACACAAACTTGTCCCTAAAGCGTTACAATTGGATAGCTCTGTGTTTTACTGCTTGGTGGACATAACCTGGCTTACTTTGGTGGGCTGATACCTTGCAATGCACACTTACAGAAGTCACTAGTTCAGCCTATTGCAGGTCAGATTTTCTACAGTTTGTTTA